TCATCATCATCATCATCATCATCTTCATCAGTATTTGAACACTGATTCAGCAATGAAGTGGTACGAGTTGTTTAACAGAAATTAAACACGGAATTATTAATCGATATTGAGGATTTACATTCATTCAAACTCCAAAGGTTCATACCAACTTCCAGAATAGCGGGAGCGATGAACAATTCTTCATTGGTATGGTTTTAAATGTGACGATTTATTGGCGTATTTAAATAGTGTTTGAATAAATCATCGTCGAAACTTATTTCCATTTATACCCCCATTTAATATTCTCCTCAAAATTCTAATTTAACGTAATGGTCGTGTAATCGAAGAAAAAAACAAAATTCAGATCTTTGTTGTTTCTGGTGCACGTTGGTAGTAGTGATTTTCCCTCCGTTTTGTTCTCCTAATGGTGAGGAGTGTTGAGGTGATTGAAACAGGCCTAACGGTTGAGTTTTTCTTAACATCAGGAATAGTTGTTTATATTGTATGTGAGAAGAGAGGCATATGAGTGATATTGTTCAATGTAAGTGTACGTGTGTGAAGTTTTATTACAAAATGTCTGTAATGTATGGTGGTTTTCATTGTCATAACTTTGCGTTGATGCTTCTGAGAGCGTGTTCTCCATTGTTTTTAGGCGTCTGTTCGTTCCTTCAGGTGCACGGAAGTGTTATTGTGCTTTGTCGATACAGAATTAATTCATTGCTTCGCCTGCTAGAGTGAAGTTTCAAGTAAGTGACAAGTTTAGGAAATAAGGAATCGGTGCTACGGTACCGGTAACCAATTCACGAGAAAGCGCATGATTGCTTTCAGTTACCGAGATTCAAAATCACCGGTCCAAGTTTGTGTTGTTAGTGGTAATTGCTTACTTTCAGTTTCTGGTGACTGTTTTCATTTTAATTTAAAGGAGATGATTGAATGACATTAATTGTGTGAATTTCCTTATTTTATTTAATTTCCGTTGAACAGCTTTTTTGTGTTATCACAAACTATTGTTTAAATTGTTTTTATTTATTCTGAGAAAAACTTAGTTCAGAAACAATCTTGTTATTTACATATTCCTGAATCTTCATTAGATAACTGTTCCCTTCAATTTCTATTAGTTTCATAACAGGTGGTTTATAAATATTTGTTATGTATTGTTATTAGAAGTGAGGTGGAATATTCAAAGAAAATTGACATTTTTTTAGGAACTGCTCCACAATGATAGAGAATAATATTCCAAATGGAAATGTTAAGGGAGCAGGAGATTCTGCCACACAAGGCTCAAAAAAACTTACCATTGAAAAAATTTATCAGAAGAAGAGTCAGTTGGAACACATTTTATTAAGGCCAGACACATATATTGGTAAGCTGCTTATTGTTCTTGAAACTTCAATTGTCTTCAAATATTTTTTTAAAAACATAATACCAATTTTTTCAAGTGTTATAGGATGTAGTCTATAATTTCTTCATTGGTTTGTAGGTTTCTGAGGTGGTCCACACTCTCTGATTTTTCCTTTCTCGTGCTCCCCTGGGTCTGTTTTGGGAGGTGTTCATTTTCAATTATATATGAACTTGCCTTTTCTGATAATATTTTAGTGTCTATGATATTTTTTAGATTCTTTATATAACACATTTATTTTTTGTGCTTTAATGGAAAGGCATGAATATTGAATGTAGTAGATGAAATAAAACTTATTTTTTGTGAAGAAAAAAAGTTGTAATATGTGTGGGTGGAGGGAGGTGGAATGGGAAAGTTTGTGTGAAAAAACAGGTTCCTCGAAACGCTTTGCATTTCAGAAACATGTAAATTGTGTATTATTTACAAAAGAAATGAATATATTTGTTCATAAAGAAAAATTGTAAATACAAATCAAAAAGGACCTAATTTACTCAAATCAATTGATTTTTTTATTTCAATTTTAATTTTTCTTTGTAAAGAAATATTTCCATTTCTTTTGTAAATAAGAAACAGTTCACATGATTCTAGGGTGTTGTGAGAGGTTTCATAACAGGTAAAGGTACATTCTGTGAATAAAGAATTATAACTCCGTTAAAAATCTAATTGTTCAAATTAAAACACAAGACAAAAACATTCAGCACAAAGTGTAGCTAGGAGAAAGATTCACTTTGTGAAAACATTATACAAAATTATCAACATTGTGCACACCACATTAATAGAATTTCATGAATAAATATGTAAGGCAAAACATTATTTAAAATGTCTATTTGGAAGATCAAACTATCTAAGATCTCAGTCTGTTGTTGTCTGGATGGCATTGGCAACCGGAATGCGAAGCAACAAGGACAGGCAAGTGACGAGGAGCTTAGAGTCGGAAGGGAGAGAGAGAAGATAAAGAGGAAAGGGAAGGTGGGATGAAAATGATCAATTCTATCTTGGAAAGCAATGTACTTACCACGTTTTTAATAAAATTAAATGACCAGAGCATGTCCAGGTGTACTTTCTGTAATTAAATCTGTTCGTTAATGACAAGTCTCCAGACAGACATGACAACATTCATGTTTAATTTTTCAAAAATATAAGTGGTTTTCTTATAATTTTCACAAAATATTGGCAATGTTTGAAAGCAAATTTAAAATTATTTTCTTTAAACTGCTACAATTTTTTTTTTTTTACATTTTCTTCTAAAATCAACAAGGGGCAGTGAAAATTATGGTGTTTTCCTTTCTTGGGAACGTTGTATTTTTAAATATTGCAAAAAGTTAAGATTTCAAAACTACAAAATTGAAGAAAACTGATTTTTGCCTCTGACAAGTCTTTTGTAAACAAAAATGAGCTGTATAAGGTCATGTACAAATTTTTGAAAAATAGTTGTTTTGTGTAATGCGCACTTGAAACTTATGCAATTATTTTTTTTCCCCTCAAAATCCGCATTGATTTTTTTTAACAAAGAATCGCTTAAGAACATGGTGCAGCTCTCATTTTTGTTGAACTATGAAATTTTGAAAGTTGCAAATTTAGAAATGTTAGAAAATATGTGCTGTTGTAATATCACTAGTTTTGAATTGCTTGTAATGGATTACTATGCCTACAGTGTTAGATTTCAGGAGAAATGGTTTCTAAAACTTATTGAAACATTCAAAAGAAATTCTTCAAAAACACTGTGCAAGAACATACAGAACTTGGTATATCTTGAAAATACCCCACCACAATGAAAGAATAAAGTCTTTCTTTGTTCCATTCTATGTTGTGTTAAAAATCCAAGACAATCCATTTTAGGCTTTTCTTCGTTATCCTCTTCGTAAATTTATTACTGAAGTGAGGTACTTAATTGAACCTTCTTGTGACAGTTTGACTGTCATTAACACATTCAGTGCCACAGTTTGGCTTGTGTTCAACCCAACTTTCTTGAGGAGCTTACCCACAACCTGTGCCTATTTTCAATTGGAATTTGTAAGGCAGTCAAATGGAATATCTCATTATTGAAGACTGAAATTTGGGCAAAGTGTTTTTATAATCATATACAAGAAAGTTAGCTAGGCTTTTAGCACAAATCTCAACAAATAACATCTTGGAAGATCCAAGAGTGATTTATTTTACTTTTCTGTCTGTTTTGTGATAAAACCCATTTTAAAATGTCTATTTTTTATATTTAATGAATTTAGTCGTGGGTATTTTTTTCCAAAATTTGTATTTTGCAATCCTTGGACATTTCAAAAAAATAATTAACTTGTTTTGAAAGTAAGACGTTGCCTAAAGCCTCGCCATATCAATGAAGGCATTATTATTATTATTATTATTATTATTATTATTATTATTATCATGATCATTATTATTATTACTATAAATACTGGAGAGTGAAATATTTTCTCATACTTGAAGTTAAAAACAGATTTCATTAATTTGTTTCTGTTAAAATCCTCGTAATATTTCATTGTTAATGTCGGGAAGCAAAGGAAAAAATATTGCTATCAGCGAAATTGGTTGATATTGTGCTCAAGATTTTCTCCAGTAACCTCCATCAACTTTTACGCATAGAAAATTAACAAAATTCCTAGTTGTTTTAGGTAACTAAATATGCTTGGAAACCCAAACAAGTCATAAAATTGGCAATTGGCTGACAAAAGCTTTTTGTTCTTATTTTTATTAAAACGTTTGTGAAATCCATATTATATACTGTGATGTTGAACTGTAAATGTGAATTTATTATTAAAAAGAATAATATCATTGTGCTTATTTTCAGGTTTAAGTGCTTTTTTGCCAGCCAATAGGCTGGGGAGTGTCAAAATTCTAGTCTCTACTCACTATTAATTTGGTTGGCATTCTAACATAGTTTAGTGATAATATTAGCATTCCTGTTTTTAAATTTTGAACCCTTTGGAATTGTTTTTAAATATCAAATAAAATCCATTGTCTCCAAAAAATTGTCTTGAATTGTCGTGCCTCTTAAATTATGCAGATGCACTGTGCCTCATGTCAAGAGACCATGTGCCTGGATTAATAGAAAACATTCTGGCTTACTAAGGAAATGAGATCTCTAAGATTTAGTATGTGTTATTTAATTGTCAGTATAATCTACTGCAGAATACTCAAGATCAATTATTGTTTAGGTTCTGTGGAACCAGTTAAAGAAGAACAATTTATTTATGATGAAGAGAAACAACAAATGATTAAAAAAGAAATAACCTATGTACCTGGTTTATACAAGATATTTGATGAAATTTTGGTAAATGCTGCTGATAATAAACAGAGAGATCCTTCTATGAGCCAGATAAGAATTGACATAGATGTGTAAGTATTACTATTTCTTATTTATTTATGGCTTATTTCATTTAAAAGTTATATTTTAGTGATACGAGGTATACTGAAACTTGCTCAGTGGGCAATGTTGATTAAGTGGCCACTTCCATTAATGGTCATTTATTCATGGATCATATAGTTTTTTCTGTAAGATATGGAAACATTATGTATTTTCAGCAGCCAACAGCCAAGTACATTTTGTATATTGACAATCATTTAGTGGTCACGAGATTTTAACTGTATATACGAAGTAGAAAAGGGGTGGATATCACTGTTTATTTAACATTCTTGTGATGGCCCATATAAGCCCATATAAATCCATTCCCTGATAATTACATAGAGTATAATAAATTTATTTCCCTGAATGTTTCCTTTACTGGGAGTTTCTGGAGATCAAGGGTCATTGGCTCTTTTTGACTCGATTATATTATATTAAAGAAAAAATGAAGTTATAATTTTGTTTCTGAAGTTAAAAGCTAATATCTGTACTTCAGAGGCCAAGACTAAATCACAATTTCCATACTTCAAGAAGGGAAAAAACTAATTTGCTCCTGTATTTGCAATATTTGGATTTTGGCTTTTTACAAGCTTAAACGGATGCTAAAAAAGTTGGGGATTACTACTTCAAATAGATTTTTGTTGCAATTATTTTGGTATCAAAACCTGATAATGGAGATCGAACTCCTGACCTCTAAGGTTCAGATATTAGAAGAAAACTAGAGGGTTTTATATGAGAACAGAGTGAGATGATCAGTAGCCATCTAATTGTTTAATGATGAAATTTTCTGCAAAGATTACTAGTGAAAATAAAATGACTGTCGTGCAGTAATAAATTGCATACAAATATTACTTGTGAGTCATTCTTTCTGTTTTGTTTTGTGGATAGGGAGAAAAATGTCATAACCATTTTTAACAATGGCCAAGGAATACCTGTTGTTAAGCATAAAGAGGAAAAAATGTATGTTCCAACTATGATATTTGGACACTTGTTAACATCCTCAAACTACAATGATGAAGAACAGAAAGTTACAGGAGGAAGAAATGGTTATGGTGCTAAATTGTGCAATATTTTTAGCACAAAATTCACTGTAGAAACTGCCAGTTCAGAATATTCTAGAGCATTTAAACAGGTATTAAATGATGTATAAAACATTGCAGCTACATTTATTTTGCGATACGAAGTGACAGAAACATACGAAATTACATTGGAAATTTTAAACTTCTGTTTCAGACGTGGGAAAACAATATGTCAATAGCAAAACCAGAGAAGATCCAGGACTATATTGGTAAAGATTACACAAAAATTTCTTTTAGTCCTGATCTTTCAAAATTTAAGATGGAGAAGTTAGATCAAGATATTGTGGATCTCATGACTCGTAGAGCATTTGACGTAGCAGCTTCTACTGCTGTTAATGTATTTCTCAACAATAAAAAACTTTCTGTAAGTTTCCTAGTTTTTTTATTACCGTAATGTTATTGAATGAATGTTGTAAATTCTTAAATGCAGAATTGTTTTGTTTTCTTTTTTGCTTCCTCAGGTACATAGTTTTAAGGAATATGTTAATTTATTTATACCTAAAGACCTAGACAATCCTCCGAAAGTTGTGTATGAGAAAGTGAATGACCGATGGGAAGTAGCTGTTACTGTCTCAGAAGGTTTCCAACAGATGTCCTTTGTCAACAGCATTGCTACTACTAAGGTAATAACTTATTCTTAGCTTGTCTTAATGATTGTACACTTTCTTAATAGACCAGTTTCTGATGTGACAATCTCAGTTGATTTTAAAAAAATCTTGTAAATATGTGGTCTTTTGTGATATAATTTCAGAAATAATAATTTAGGACCTAATAAATTGTTTAGTTTGCTTTCAGCATGTTCTTTTCCTCTTACACTTGTTTCCGAGGTACATTAACACGGTACGGAGGTATATTAATATAATCATATTTTTGAATGACTGTGACAACATTAATATATTCTTTATTGCGCCAATCCAAACAACTGCAGTTGCTAAAACAAGTGCTGAAATTCGTGCAGTATGTCAGGTCCCCGGTTTAGGTCCTGCATAGGCATAAGGGTGTTTCACCCTTATATTGTGGCTTGATTAGTTTTCTCACCTTCATACTTCACCTTTCCTATTGCATCGTGTATTTCCTAGCTAGCCCAGTTAGCGGAGGAGCTTGCATGTTAGGCAAGTATGTGGATTGGGTGATCCCTAAGTTATTTGTGCCATGTGGTACATTCCCAATACCTCATGTATCATCAGTATTGTAATGCAACCTGGGAGTTACACTATCATTAGGCGCGGGGGGGGATTGCCATCACACTTAAGGAGCAACAGTCACTTTCAGACAGGGTGCATGCGCTGAATTTATTTAAAGGGTTCAAAGCTCATGCCTTACCTGCTATCCGGTCACTGGTGTTGAGCATCTCAGGGGTGAGCGCCCTATGTCGGATAGCATTTAGCTTATTGTCTACAAGTAATACACAGGCTATATTTCTTGACCTACAGGCAGAGACCTGTTTATTATCGTGGTAAACTGTCTCTCATATACAATTATCTGTTGAGCTTGCCTGTGGCTGGTAGTAAGTATGGGCGTGAATTACCTTACAGGATGGTGATGTCGCTACTTCACCCTAAAGGATTACATGTCCAATACTAGTTGGTTACAGCGGAGGACCTGTTGAAATGCCATAAGTCTCTCCTGTAGTCGGCAGGAATGCTCGCGGATGTTGAACATCAGGCTGGGCGGAAGATCATCCGTGGCCGTCCGCGAAATGAAAGAATTGGTTTTGATGCACGGGTCGCAAGTCGTCACACACCGCCTGGACCGCGTTTTGTGTTTTGCAGCCGAATGTTCGTGCCGCATACCCTCACATGTAATTCTAGGGTGTTGATCCTATTATCCCAGCCCGGCATCCAGAATAAATTCTGATGCTGAATGAGGGGCTGGTAGGATCGTGTGGAGAACAGCGATCATCTGTTGGTTGGCTGTTGTCGCCGTTAAATCAAGAACTGTGGTCTCTCTAAGAGCCAACCAATCGCTGTCAAGATTCTTTCTCGCATAATCTGATCTTTTTAGCGCCCTCAGCTCACCCGATTCCCTTCCCCACCCCTTTCGCAAGATGTGGGAGCTCTGTCACGTGCGTAGTACGAAACTTTTCATTGGCTTGTTCAAAAGTTTCCAGAACATTCCATCGCCTGAACTCTGTGATTGGGGTAAGGGGAACGCACATCTTTGCAACCTTCACTTCTTAACATGTAATTGGTTGTTTATTGTTCTCCATCTAGTGTCTACATGACTCGACATACGTCTGCGACTCATCTACGAAGCTTCATGGTTTATTGGCCCCGTAGGGATTGCCGAGCTGCTCCAGAGTCTCTTCATACGACTGTTCCGGGAGGCAATCTCCTATTGCGTGGGAGGTGTTTTTCAGAGAAGGGGTGACGCTGGGGAATCCTTGGGCAGTGTGCACAGCTGTGCACGACGAATTGTGCCATAAGCGCCCTTCGCTTGGAGTTATTTTAAAAGGGCGTGACACAAGGGTTGCGCTGTGCAATGTGACTGATAACTGCACATGTGATCTGTATGTAATATTGAGGAACTGGTTGCTGTCACAGAAATGAATGGTACAAACACAAAGATGGGCCCTGGGGCTATCTTGGGCATAATTTTTAAGCACTAAACTTCAAAAGTATGTCCTAAAAATAATGTATACTAATCCATCATCACATGTTTCTTGTAAATTTACATTCAATACACTTCAAGAGCACTTTACTCTTACTATGCCACTCTATAAAATTTCAAATAGTAGTACTAGAAGTCATAGAATTACTGCTGACAAATAAATTTAACAATTAGTAGTAGAATCCAGTTTGACCACAATTCCAAAGATCTTTTAGCAGCACCTTCATTTCATGAAAGGGGAAGTTTTCTTTTTTGCATCTTGATTGCTCATTTTTGTACGGTAAACCTCCTTTGTGTTGTAAGGGCGCTTATCAATATTACTGATTTTCAAGATGTACTCGATTTCTTGTATTATTTGAAATCAATATTACTGATTTTCAGGATGTACTCGATTTCTTGTATTATTTGAAAGGCTTGCAGTTTCTCTGGTCAATATAATGCATAATTCAGTTACAGAAAATTAGTGTTAACTACAATGAACCTCGCACACGGAAACTTAAAATTAAGAAATTAAAAGTTCAATTTATGAAAATACTTAGTACATAAGTAATTGTGAACAATTTCCAACAAAAAATACAGAATAATTATCAGTTTGCAGAAATTAAATGCTCATCAAATTATTACTCAATCCTTAAAGCATTTGACCATTAGAGACGAAGAGTATATTTATATTATAAATTATAGATAATAATTTCATAAAGTATCAAACTATATATACAATAATTAAATTATTAGACGTCTATGGATAACCTGATACTAAACTCTTACAGATTTGATTGAAGTAGCATTTTCAGCAATTTCTGTTAATTTTAATGACAGATAACATTCTTTTCGGGTGAGCTGAGATGTTTTTGTTATATTTTTTGCATTTGCTTATGATACAGTGTGTTCAGGGCAGTGAATGATTATAATGACAGCTTCTATAACAGATGAGCGTCGCCTAAGACCCCATCGCTTTCCACTAAATATTCTTCCGCCAGTCAGCTGAGTTGTATTCACAGCTGGCCGCGGTTGACAGAATTTTGTTGTTAAATGTAATTTTGATCGCGTGGAAGTTAGAAACAGTTTTCATGAGAGATTCATTTAATTCTGTATCATTAATGATGAAAAATTATACTAAGCGATTCAAAACATTTCGAA